ATTGCCTTTCTTTGGGATTGGAGTGAAAACTGACCTTTTCCAGTCCTGTGGCCACTAATGAGTTTTCCAAATTTGCTGGCATATGGAGTGCAGCACTTTCACAGCATCATTTTTTAGGATTTGAAACAGCTCAACTGGAATTCCATCACCTCCACTGGCTTTGTTTGTAGTGATGCTTCCTAAGGCCCACTTGACTTTGCATTCCAGGATGTCTGGCTCTAGGTGAGTGATCACACCATTGTGATTATCTGGGTTGTGAAGATCCTTTTTGTCCAGTTCTTCTGTGTATTCTTGTCATGTCTTCTTAATATCTTCTACTTCTGTTAGGTCCTTACCATTTCTGTCCTTTATTGAGCCCATCTTTGCATGAAATGGTCCCTTGCTATCTCTAATTTTCTTGAAGAGATCTCTAGTCTTTCCCATTCTGTTGTTTTTCTCTGTTTCTTTGTACTGATCCCTGAGGAATGCAGAGTTCCAAAGAATAGAAAGGAGAGATAAGAAAGCCTGTCTCAGTCATCAGTGCAAAGAAATAGAGGAAAACAATAGGATGGGAAAGACTAGAGAAAAGGCACAGGGCCACAAAGAATGAGCACAGCCCCTGATCTTTGCTGGCCTCCTGGGCACAGTGGGGATGAAGGTTGCCCCTGAGCCCTGTGTCCTGGTGCCTGCAGTGCGCTGAGCTGGGTGCCGCAGACCTGCTGTGTGGCAGAGAGCTGTGTCACCTGGCACCAGACTGGGCCTCTGGGCATCACACTCGGGCACCACCTGTGTGGCTGACACCTGGTCCACAGGCCTGTACTCCATCTGCTGCCCCCCAGGTAGACCATCTGACCTGGCCACAGGGACTGAGGCTGGGAGACCAGGCGGACAGCAGGGCCTCTGGAGGGGGGCCACGAGTCCTGGATGTGGGGAAGGAACCATCTACAGGCCATGAGCCAGGTACCAATCCTCCCTGGGCCCTGAGGCTGCACTTGGAGAAGGGGTACCAGGATCCCCACCTGTGGAGCTACTGAGTCAAAGAGAAGGGGTACCAGGATCCCCACCGGTGGAGCTACTGAGTCAAGGTCTTCCTCCTGGCCTGGGTACTGGGGGCTTGGTACCAAGCAGCTGCTCACAGAGGTGGGGAGCAGGGTCCCTGGATAAATCCGAGATATAAGTGCACTCAGCTCGAGTCCCCTGGCCCCGCGTTCTCTGTGGGGCTGGACGTGGGCTTCTGCCTCCCCATTGCCGGGACTCTCTCTGAGATGGGGATGAGCCCAGGCCTCACCTCGCCATCCTCACCTGACACTTATTCTGCGCTGGGCCAAAGCGACTGGCAGGCTGGAGGGGGCAGCTGTGGATGTGAGTGCTGCAAGTCAGGGGCCCTCCCCGGACGGGGGACTGCAGTGTCTGAGGTTGCAGCTCTTACTAGATCACGAACTGAGCTACAGCATGCCGGGCAGTGGGAACACCCACCGCGAGGCCACCGAACTAGGGATCAGGAAACAGCCTCGGGCCCTTATCAGCAGTGCCATTCTTGACCTGCCTCAGATCTAACCTCCAGAGTTCCAGCTACAGGCCTGTACTACTTCTCCAGCATCCTTTCTTTTTTTTTTTCCCCATTTATTTTTATTAGTTGGAGGCTAATTACTTTACAATATTGTAGTAGTGGTTTTTGCCATACACTGCCATGAATCAGCCATGGATTTACATGTGCTCCCCATCCCAATCCCTCCAGCATCCTTTGTTAATGCTCCCCACAGCCTGGAGGAGGCTGCTGCCGTCCTCTGCAGAGACGAGAGGACTCTGAGGGGTAAGGCTGAGGGGAGGAATTTGGGGTGTGGCCTTGGAGAGAGAGCTGGAATCCTGGGCCCAGGTGAAGGATGGCATGAGGCAGAGAATCCACTATGGTCGGCTGCCCCCGGCTCCTTGACCTCACCTGCTGCTTCCTGAAGCTCGGTATTCTGGGGTTTCCTCACAGGCTCCTGAGCTGAGCTGCTCAAGAATAGGGAGCTGGAGCCAGGTGACTGGCAAAGCCTGGGCCCGGGGGGTGAACTGGGGGGCCCCATCCAGCGTGTCCTGCCTCCCTGTGGCTGGGGAGAAGGGAAGGAGACACCCTGGGGAGGCCTCCCGGAGCTCCCCAGGCCTCAGCCCTGGGCCTGCCATCGCGTCCCAGGCCACTAACCCACTCTGCGCAGCTGCCCCAACCTCTGACAGGCCGTGCTCGGTGTGACTGGGGCACACACGCGGCCCCCGCTGACATCTTCAGGAGTCTGGTCTAGTGTTGCCCCAGGGATGCCGGACGCCAAGGGAGGGTGCTGGGCAGACCTGCGGGGGTCAGGAAGTGCTTCTAGTTAGCTCCCAGGACCCTCAGAACCCCATCCCCGCCCCTGTGGAGAGCTCAGATGTGGTGTGAGGCAGGGAGGGAGCCTGGGCTTGACTGAAAACCGGATCATCTTTGCCACCCACTGTACTCCTCAGCCTCTCTGGGGTCTCAGGTGGAAAGGGGTAGGTTCTTCTGGAGTACATCAGATTCCATTCAAGCTGAACAGGCACACTCCCACGCCTCTGTCAGGCTGCAGGATCCTTGCTGGGGTCCTGGGTTCATCAGGCAGAATGCCTCCTCAAGTTGGGGAGGCATCTGGGGTGTTGGTTGTTCTGTCTCTGCCTGTCCCCCAGGTGGGACCAAAGGCCACGCTGCCAGGACAGCTGAGGCTGGTCCCAGCTGAGCTGGGTCTGGACTCTGAGAGGCCTGATGTGGTCAGGGGCTGGCCAGGATGCATCACTGCATCTTCAACACAATCCTCTGCACTCAGGCCAACTGGGAATGGGGGTGCACATCACACTCCCTGACTTCTTGACTGGGCGACCTTGTCCCATGCCAGGTGGGGGCTCAGCAGGTCCATGACCCATTTGCTCCAGGCCCAGAAATGTGGCTCAGTGTGTGAAGGGCAGAGTGAGATCCTGCTGGGAGGGCCTCCTGCGGGTTGTGCGTCCTCCCGACTCCATCACTATTCACCCAAACAAGCGAGGCATCTGGCCTCACATATGGCTGTCAGGATCTGCTCACTGGAGCTCACCAAATACCTACTGTGCACCAGCAAATTTCAACAGGATATGGGGTCTATGGTGTGGAAATGGCCCCCAAGTCCCCCTCCTGACCTGTGGTCACTGTGTTCCTGGGCCTGAACTGGGACACTGCCCTGCACCCTGGCAGAAGGTCACCAGTGAGAGATGTGAAGTGGATGTGAATACACAGGGTATAGCAATGTATTTATACCAACTCTAAAATTTACAATGTACTGTACACGTGGTCAAGTGTGTGACTCAAATTTGTCCTGCTGACCGGTGTCATAGCTCTCACTGCTGTCCTGATGCCAGCAGGATGCCGAAAGGGTATACACAGGGCTACAGAAAACAGCTCATCTCACTGGGCAGGATTGGGTCCATTCGTAAAATGGCAGGGGCCACAAGTGGGCTGTGGCCCCTCTCATGCCACCATGACGTCTGCTGGAGATATGAAGGCTCCCAGGTCACCTGGAGACAGGCGAGGTGTCTACCTCCACGGCGAGGGTGAGATCATAGCCGCCCAACCTCTTGGCTCACTGCTGAGGACAGACAGACTGACCAGCAATGTGATCACCACTGTTCTGAAGGCAGGGCCCCTCATATGTTTGGAGGCTGTGGGCCCTTCCAGGGCTGAGGCTTCACAAAAGGTGGAGAAAGTTCGCCTGGGCAGTGTGGTCATTGTGGCAGGTGGCAGGCCACAGGATCACAGTTTGCAAAGCAGTGACGCATCAATGCCTCTGCCTCCCACTGGGCTGGCTGGGGCAGGCAGGGCTGCAGGAGGCTGGCTTCCTCTCTTCCTCTCCCTCCTCCTCCTTCTCCAGCTGAGTGCCTCTCATGTCTTCCCCAGAATAGAAGACCTGCAGATTTAAACATGCTGAGGGTGGTGAGAACCTGCTGGCCTGGCCTGTGGTTATACACCCCCTGAGACCCCTGCCCCAGAGGGGCTCAGTCCTCAGAGCCCACCGGTGCCCCTCCTTTCTGACCTTGCTCAGCTGTATTAACAGGCTGAACAAGAAGAGATGGTGCGTGTCTAACTTTCTAGCACGAGTGTGGACTGGGGTTCCAGGCGCTGGGTCACACATCTCAGCTGCCCACGAGGCAACCTCCAGCTCTGGGGGGTCATGGTCCTCGCCTCTTCTCCATACCCCAATGCTTGAGTTCCTGCCTAACCACTAAGACCCTGGTCTGACCTGCCCCCACCCCCACGGAGGGCCTCCCAGGAGGCTGACAGCCAGGTATGGATGAAGTCCCTCAGTTCTGACTTGGCCCCAAGCACCCTATCCCTCCCTCTATCCTGCCCCCCACCCCCCAACCTTGTCTCGGCACATAGACTCACCTTAGAGATTTCCACCTCTCTTTTTCTGTTTGGTTCTCTGGGCTCTCACTTTCATAAGAAGCCAAATAAAGACCTAATCAGAAAATGAAGTGATATTATGCATTTCTGACCAATGATAATAACCTATTCTACACTCAACAGTCTCACCTGCTTTTTGTTTTTGAATTGTTATCGGGATGTAACTGCAGATTCACATGCAATGTTAAGAAATAATACAGGGAGATCCATGCACCTTTTACCCAGTCTCTCCCAACAGTAACCAATTGCCAAACTATAGGACGAGATTATCACCAGGATATTGGTGTCAACATAGTCAAGGTGCAGAACATCCTATCACCACAGGGATCCCTCCTGCTGCCCAGCCACACCCAGCTCCCTTCCCGTCCCACTCCTTCCTTAATCCCTGACCACTGCTAATCTGTTCCCTGTATCTTTATTTTGTCTTTTCAAGAATGTTATATAAATGGAATCGCACAGTATGTAACCTTTTGGGATTGGCTCTTTTCACTCTGTAATTCTCTGGAGATTCATCCATGCTGTAGTGTGTATCAGTGTGGTTCATTCCTTTTTGTAGCTCAATAGTATTCCATACCATACTTTGTTTAACCATTCACCCACTGAAGGCCATCTGGGTTGTTTCCAGTGTTTGGCTGTAACAAATTAAGCTTCTGTAAACATTGGTGTATGAGTTTTTGTGAAAACATGTAAACATTCATTTCTCTGGAATAAATACATGCCCAAGAGAATAATTGCTGAGTCATATAGTAGTTGCATATTTAGTATAAGAAACTCTGTCTGGTTCTACATTCTGAAGATTTTCTCTTGCTTCTCTTTTTTTTTTTCCCTAAAAGTTTTATAGTTTTACATTCAAGCCTGTGATCCATTTTGAGTTAATTTCTATATAAAATGTGAGGCTTAGGTTGAAGTTCATTTTTTGCCCTGTGGATGTCCAGATATACTTGAATCATTTGTTGCGAAGACTATCTTTCCTTCACTGAATTGCTTTTGCACTTTAGTCAAAAATCACTTGGAATATTCATGTGGGTCTCTTTCTGGGTTCTCTGTTATCTATTTAAATATTGAATAGCCTTGAGTCTCTGGAATAAGTCATGATATATAATTATTTTTATATATTGCTGAATTATATTTGCTAGTATTTTCTGAAGGATTTTTTGCATCTGTATTCATGAGGGACATCAGTCTGTATTATCTGTACTGTCTTTGTCTGATTTTGATATCATAATATTAGCTTCATAAGGAAAACTGGAAAGTTCCCTCCTCTTCATCCTTTTTCTGAAGGAGATGGTACAGAGTCGGTGTTATTTCTTTAAATATTTGTTAGAATTCTCTAGTATAACCATATGGGCTCAGATACTTCATTTTGGAGTGCTTTTAAATGAAAAATTTAGTTTTCTTAATAGCTGTGGTGGTGGTAGTGGTGGTTTAGTCGCTAAGTTGTGTCCGACTCTTGAGATTCCATGGACTGTAGCCTGTCAGGCTCCTCTCTCCATGGGATTCTCCAGGCAAGAATACTGGAGTGGGTTGTCATTTCCTTCTCTATAGGGCTATTCAAATTATCTATTTATGCTGAGTTGTGGAAGCTTGTGTTTCTTGAGAAATTGGTCCATTTCATCTAAATTGTCAAATTTACATGCATATAGTTGTTCATAGTATTTTCTTATGAGTCTTTTGATGTTGGCAGAATCTGTAGTTATACCCTGTTTCATTCCCAATATTAGTAATTTCTGTCTTTCTCTCATTTTTCTTTGTCAAGATGTTGTTTGCTAGAGGATGGAAATTTTATTATGTTTTGCAAAGAACAAGCTCTTTAATTAACTTTTTAAAATGGTTCTGCTTTCCATTTCATTGATTTCTGCTCTCTTGTGCTCTTATTTCTTTCCTTCTGCTGACTTTTGGTTTATTTTGCTCCTCTTTTTCTAGGTTCTTGGAGTGGAAACTGAGATGATTGATTCAAGGTGTTTCATTTTTTCTAATGTATGCATTCCACGCTGTAAAATTCTCTCAGCCCTTCTTTAGCTATATCCCACAAATTTTGATAGCATTTCCATTTAGTTCAATTATTTTTTATTTCCCTGAGACTTCTTCTTTTTTTTTTTTCATTTATTTTTATTAGTTGGAGGCTAATTACTTTACATCATTGCAGTGGTTTTTGTCATACATTGACATGAGTCTGTATTTTCTTATGAGTCTTTTGATGTTGGCAGAGTCTGTAGTGATACCCTGTTTCATTCCCAATATTAGTAATTTCTGTCTTTCTCTCATTTTTCTTTGTCAAGATGTTGTTTGCTAGAGGATGGAAATTTTATTATGCTTTGCAAAGAACAAGCTCTTTAATTAACTTTTTAAAATGGTTCTGTTTTCCATTTCATTGATTTCTGCTCTCTTGTGCTCTTATTTCTTTCCTTCTGCTGACTTTTGGTTTATTTTGCTCCTCTTTCTCTAGGTTCTTGGAGTGGGAACTGAGATGATTGATTCAAGGTGTTTCATTTTTTCTAATGTATGCATTCCACGCTGTAAAATTCTCTCAGCCCTTCTTTAGCTATATCTCACAAATTTTGATAACATTTCCATTTAGCTCAATTATTTTTTATTTCCCTGAGACTTCTTAACTCATGGGTTATTTAGAAGTATGCTGTTTAGATTCTAAGAATTTGGAGATTTTCCTGTTGTCTTCTGTTATTGCTTTCTAGTTTGATTCTATTGTGATCAGATAATATATACCATATGATTTCAGTTATTTAAATTTATTGCACTTTGTGTTATGTAGCTCAGGATATGTTTCATCTTGGTCTATGTTCTATGGGCAATTGAAAACAATGTGTATCCTCTTGTAGTTATGAGGAATAGTTTATAAATGTCTGTCAGACCCTCTTTGATGGTATTGGCGAGTCCTGCTTTGTCTTCGCTGATCTCCTCCCCAGTTGTTATATCAGTTGTTAAGAGAGGGTGTTGAAGTCACCAACTATATTAATAATTGTGGATCTATTTATTTCTCCTTTCAGTTCTATTGAGTTTTGCTTCATAAACATTGCAATTCTGTTGCTTGGTGGATACACATTTAGGATTGCTACATCTTCTTGGGGGACTGACCATTTTATTATTACATAATGTTCCAAATAGGAAAAGGAGTATGTCAAGGCTGTATATTGTCATCCTGATTATTTAACTTATATGCAGAGTACATCATGAGAAACGCTGGGCTGGGTGAAGCACAAGCTAGAATCAAGATTGCCGGGAGGAATATCAATAACCTCAGATATGCAGATGATACCACCCTTATGGCATAAAATGAAGAAGAACTAAAGAACCTCTTGATGAAAGTGAAAGGGGAGATTGAAAAAGTTGGCTTAAAGCTCAACATTCAGAAAACTAAGATCATGGCATCCGGTCCCATCACTTCATGGCAAACAGATGGGGAAACAGTGGAAACAGTGGCTGACTTTATTTTTCTGGGCTCCAAAATCACTGCAGATGGTGATTGCAGCCATGAAATTAAAAGACGCTTACTCCTTGGAAGGAAAGTTATGACCAACCTAGACAGCATATTAAAAAGCAGAGACATTACTTTGCCAACAAAGGTCCGTCTAGTCAAGGCTATGGTTTTTCCAGTAGTCATGTATGGATGTGAGAGTTGGACTATAAAGAAAGCTGAGCGCCGAAGAATTGATGCTTTTGAACTGTGGTGTTGGAGAAGACTCTTGAGAGTCCCTTGGACTGCAAGGAGATCCAACCAGTCCATTCTAAAGGAGATCAGTCCTGGGTTTTCATTCGAAGGACTGATGCTGAAGCTGAAACTCCAATACTTTGGCCACCTGATGTGAAGATCTGACTCATTTGAAAAGCCCCTGATGCTGGGAAAGATTGAGGGCAGGAGGAGAAGAGGATGACAGAGGATGAGAAGGTTGGATGCCATCACTGACTTGATGGACATGGGTTTGGGTGGACTCCAGGAGTTGGTGATGGACAGGGAGGCTTGGCATGCTGTGGTTCATGGGGTTGCAAAGAATCAGACACAACTGAATGACTGAACTGAACTGAATGTTCCTCTCTGTCTCTGGAAATTTTCTTTGCTCTGAAGTAATTTATCTTACAGTAATACTGCCATTTCTGCTTTCTTTTGATTAATGTTTCCCCATCATTTTACTTTTTAACCTGTCTATATAATTATATTTGGAAATGAGTTTCATGTAGACAGCATATAGTTGGGTCACATTTTTAATTTAGTCTGACAGTCTCTGTATTTGGATCACTTATGTTAATATAAGTATTGATATGTTAGAGCTTAAGTCTGCCTGTTTATTTATTTACTCATGTATTGTTTTCTTTCTGTTCTGTGTTTTTTCTTCTTTTCTTATGGGTTCCTTGAACAGTCTCTAAGAATTCCATTTTGACTTATCTACAGTAAGTTCCTAAAGGATATTTTCACTGGATATAAAATTATGGGTTGATAGTTGTTTTCTCTCAGCACTTGAAAAATGTGCCCCTGCCCCTGGCAATGTTATCTGATGATGAACGTGATGTCATTTGAATTGCTTTTCTCCTATAGGTATTGTCATTTCCCTCTCAGTACTTTCAAGACTGTTTCTTTTTCTTTAGCTTCCAGATGTTTGATTACGACATGTCTTGGTATGGGTTCTCTTGGTTCATCCTGTTTGGGGCTCACTCAGCTTCTTGAATCTATAGGTTTACGTCTTTTCCACACAGGGGCGTTTCTTGCCTTTCCGTCTGTGAGTACTTCCCAGCCACGCCCAGTCTGTCCTTTCCTTCCCAGACTCTGACGCCACGAGTGCTGGGTCTCCTGCCACAGCCCCACTGGCCCCGGGCTTGGTGCGGTCTGTTTCCTCTGTTGCTGAGACTGTATAGTTTCTGTTGCTGTCTCTCAGCTCACTGACTCCTTCCTCTGTCCTCTCCATTATGCTATTGAACCCATCCGTTCAGCTGTTGCATTTTTCAGTTCTAAAAATTTCCATTTGACTCTTCTGTATATCTTCTATGTCTCTGCTGAGATTTTCTCTATTTTCTCTTGTTTCAGCCTTATTGTGTGTGTGTGTGTGTGTGGGATGAGGGTGGGGGTGGTTGGAGGGAAGGATAGGAAGAAAGGAGGGTCAAAATGGAAGGCGCTTCCCTCTAAGGGCATTCCAGAAGGGCCAGGATTCTACTTGTATGTTCATGGCAGTCTGTCTCACTGGCAGTTAGCAGATTCTAGAAATATTGTTGGCTAAAGGAGTGAATGAAATGCACCCCTCAAACCTCTCCTCTTCCTGCCCCTAGGCTCTCCCCACCTCTCTCCTAATGTGCCTCTGACACATTTTATTGCCCACATTCCACTGACTAATGACAATAATCATCATAATCATTAGTGTAGTAGGTTGAATAATGGCCCCAGAGATATAGGTCTTAATCCCCTGAATATGGTCAAAAGGGACTTCACAAATATGATTTAGTTAAGGATCTAGAGATGAGGAGATTATCTATCCTGGATTATCTGGGTGGGTCCTAATTGCATCAGAAATGTCCTTACAAGAGCGAAAGAGGGAGGCTTGACTTCAGAAGGCAATATGATGGTGGAAGCAGAGGCTGGTATAAGAAGAATATGGAAGAAGGGGCCACAAACTGAGGAATTCAGGCAGGCAGCCACTAGAAGTTGCAAAACGCCAGGAAATGGATTTCCCCCCAATGCCTCAAAAAATAACCAGTTCTGCCAACACTTCAATTTCAGCACAGTAGAACTGATTTCAGACTTGCTAACTTCTGTAGTCACAAGAGGTTAAATCTGTGTTGTTCTGAGCCACCAAATTTGTGGTGATCAGTCACAACATCAATAAGAAATGAATACAACTAGTATTGACTGAAAGTAGTCCTTGTGGGCTTTGCTGGTGCCACTTCAGCTAATGCTCACCGTGGCCCTAGGAAGTAGTTTCTCTCATTACCCAACTTTATAGATGCAATAGGTGCCAATAGGTAACACCACTTCTAGGGTGGGGGCACCCAGGCTGATGAGCTTATCATGTATGATGTAGGGGAGACTCCAGATATGGGTGAGAGCCCCCCGCAAATTTACTAATTTCAAAATACAAAAAATAAAATGGCCAAATTGAAAATATTAATTCAGAAGCAAGTCACTAAAAAATTCTTTCCCTTAATTTTTTATTTTTGGCAGATGATGTTTTCCTGAGCATGGGTGTGGGTCCATATGTAGAATGCCTGCCATGATGAGAATCAGGCTTTCTGTGTGCTAAGCAGGGTCCTCCCAGGGTGGCCCCATGACATCCTGCATCCAGAAAGCAGCTAACCATGGGGCCACACTGGTTATCAACTCAGCCCCAGATGACTATTTGCTTCTCCATTACTTTCTTTTTCCGGAGGAGGCAGCTCTGGGAGTATACTCAGTAAATCCATAAGCAAATCTGTTGTATCTGACAAATGATCAGACGGAAATGCTAACCTATTTAAGGGGACAGACATCAACAGTGCTTGGGAAAATGGATGCCTCATTTCATGACGGTGTGTATTACACATGCACACACATGTACACAGGTACTCATATTGCACACATACATACACACGCAAACACCAGCTGTGAAAAGACCCACAGTCAGCCTAGTGCTTTACCGTCCCCACATGAGCCCTGGGAGGGCTGCCTTTATCATCATGCCCACTTTCCTGATGAGGGAATTGGGGTCAAACATCATTCAGATTTACAACGTCCAACAGCGTCCAAATGGTGCCCAGGGAGCAGCCTGTCCTTGGGGCACAAGCTGCATCTCCACAGGCCTTGCCCTGTGCTCTGGTGGCAGCAATTATTCAGTTGGGGGATGCAGTCTTCTCTGCGTCCTCTCAGAACCCTCCCAGAACCAGCACACTTGGGTGTGGCGCATCCCTGCTCACAGCAAGGGCCCTGAACAGTGATGTGACTGAGAGACCACCCGTGAGTTTCATGGCTGAGGGTGAGGGAGGCCAGGGGCTGCCTTACCGTCCTCGCTGAAGATGGGGGCAGTGTGCAGGTAGTGGGTGATGCTGAGGTCTTGCTCGAAGGGACACTCCACTTGTTTCCAGGTGATGAACTCTCCTACTTGCTTGGCCAGCTCCAGGAATTTCTGCCAAGGACATGGAGACATAAAATGCAGGTACCCTTAGTGCCTGGAGGTCACCTGTGACAGCGGGGCCGGCCCTGGCTCATCCTCTCTCATCACTCCCAGTGAGGCCTGCTTCTAGGGCAGGCAGAGTGCGTCAAGGGGCAGAGAATGACAGTCACTCATCAGGAAACCTGGACGTTGGTCATATCTCTTTACGCTCTGTGAAGAACTTGCCACACCCAATACCTAAGGTTCATCCCCCTCTCTTGTCTTGGGCTATGGCCGTCAGCAGGGAGTGCATTAAGTTAGAGGTGACTACTACTTTCGTTTCCTTCTGCTTATATTTTTGGTTATCTCAGCTTATGGCAAGTGATATATCCCTACTTACAGCAAGTCTGAGATGTAAATGGATTTAAATAAATGTCTTTAAATAAAATTTAACTCATTTAAGTAGAACTTTGAGTAAAATTTAGATACATTTATTTAAAAATTTAAAAACTGCTAACTTAAAGAAGGCTTTTTAAACACAAAATTGTGACTGGGTGAGAACCCCACTCTGTGGCTTCCTCTGATCAGCCTTGGTGTCTGCCTCCAGCCCCCACTTCTGACGCCCAGGGATCTGTGGCCACTTAAGTACCTTGCCTTCTTGTCCAACCAGACACCCTTCCTCCTAGGCCATGGCTATAAGGGCCAATTCAAGAAAGGCAAAAGACAGGGTGTGCACTGTGAACTCCCTGGCCCCCTTAGCCCCAGTGGTCTCTCCCAAGCCCAGCCTCTTCCTTGTTGCCTGTAGCCTGGACTGTGACCCTGGGATGTGGCCCCCAGGCCACCTGCTGAACTGGGCTTCGTCCAGCTATGCCCAGCCCTCAGGGGTCATCAGGCCTGTGGGCAGCACGTGCAGACCTGCTGGGGTGTCCAGGTGCGGCCCACAGCAGAGGCAGCTCCAGGTGAGAGAGTCCAGGCATTCACCGTGGGCCCTGCCAGCAGGAGGCAGTGGCAGAGCCCTTGGCCAGCCTTGCTGCAAGTCCACTCTCGCAGGCCCTCTGTGTGGTTGCGGTGGAAGCCGAGATTGAGACCTGGACAGAGTGAGGGGCCCGCCCAGAACTGCTACCACTGGGAGAATGAGCGGGGCTGTGCCAGGGCAGGGCTGGCCCTCTTGCAGGAGAAAAGCCCCTGCTTCCCTGTGGATGGGATCGACTGCTCATGCAATGCCCGGTCTGACTCAGTGACCGCCTGCTCTCACAAGCCTGTGCCCGTGGGCCTCCCCCTCCACTGCTCCGCTTCCAGGCCCAGCCCACAGGCCACTTTGAGACACATGTGCTGGGTGAGTCTGTGTGTCGGGTCAAGACACGGAGTGGATCAGCCTGGCCTTGCTTCTAGAGAGCCTGGGACTGATGGACTAACAGCCCACCATGTAAACGGCCTTCCTCTGCCTGTGCGGTCAGTGGGGGCTTCCTGGAGGAGGCAAGAACACTCGAGCTGCCGGTGGCGAGTTATCTGCAGAGGGAGAGGGAGTCTTCATGTCTGTCTTTCCGCGTTGCCTGACCACCGCCTCCTGCTGTAAGGGCCGCTCCTTTGGAAGGCCTCTCCTGGCCTGGATCTGTGCTCTTCTGCATCTCCTGTCACAGCGCCTCGCCAGGTGTCACCGTGGGTCTGCACGGCTCTCTCTCACCAGCCCGGTGCGTCTCAAGGGCTGAAAATTATGCTACTTCACCTGTGCTGGGCACAAGTCCCCTACAGAGTGGGGATCCACGTGTTCATGAGCCTCAGTCTCTTCCTGTGGAAGATGCGGAGAGACCCCAACAGTCCCTCCCTGATGCTGGCTGCAAACTGCTGCACTCCGCCTCAGACTCCTACCTTAATCCAACCACTCGGGGCCAGAACTCCTGCTCTGGGAGCTCTTATCAGTCTGCCTAACTTGGTGGCAGGCCCTCCGAGGCCCTGGACCCTACCTCAAAGTTGACATGTCCGTTGGGGAGGCGGTTGGCACAGCCCTCATTTAGGAAGTAGATATCCTTGATGAGCAGGCTGAAGAAGGGGATGACGATCTGGAAGGGAGAGGGTGCAGGTCAGCCCTCAGCTGGCCTCCCCACAGAGGCTGCACAGGAGACAGGCAGCCGTGTCGGCAGCCCCTTGCCCCAGGGCCCTCAGATACCCCCATGCAGAGGGCAGGAGAGACGTCCTGGGCAAGGCGGCCCAGTCTCAGAGATCCATGGGTTATAGACTAGTTAGTCTATATGGGGGGTGGCCGCGGGGGCGGGCAATGTGGAAGCCACAAAGAAGGGAGGCACAAACTGGAGCCAGACTATTTTCTCCCAGTCCCCATCGGACTCCAGTGCTGATTGAGCTCCTGCTGTATACAATGCCATTCCCCACTCATGCTGGGGCCGAGGGAAAGATGCAGAGTTCTCCCATCATCTGTTGGGAGAAGCCAGTGGGAGCTTCCCCCCACAGATCCACAGACAGGCTTCCCCACTCACGTGCCCCAGGAGGAATGGTGTGTGCTGAGCACACTGCTAAATATAAAATAAATATGAAAACAAGAATCAATAGATGGAAATAGAACAATTTTTTTTAAGTTTTTGGTTTTATGAATTTAAAAAATGGAATGTGAATCGTCTGTTGTGAAATTCTGTGGCCTCCTTTACAAATATAGTTAACAATATGCTACTCCATGTCTTTCTTGAAGCTAAAGATCTGATCCTGCCATATCAGGGCAAGGCCAGGAAACATCCCTATTCTGGCTCCTGAAGGGACGAGCTTCTGCACTCAGCCTGAGAAGGGCCAGGTCTCTGTTTCATTGTCAGATGTCTTGATTCTCCCTCCTTATTCTGCACCGGGTGACCCCAGGTGGTGCTAGTGGTAAAGAATCTGCCTGCTAAAGCAGGAGATGTAAGAGATGGCGGTTCAGTCCCTGGGTTGGGAAGATCCCCTGGAGAGGGCATGGCAACCCACTCCAGTATTCTTGCCTGGAGAATCCCACAGATGGAGCAGCCTGGTGGGCTACAATCCACAGGGTCACATGGAGTCAGACACGACTGCAGTGACTCAGCACTTAGCACACAGAAAGGAGAGCAACTGCTGACCGCTCAGACTACCGTTGGGGGGCCAGTTGGGTCTACCTTATGTGTGGATTGGATCACGCCCCTCAAAAAAGGCATGTTCATGTCCTAAACCCCAGTGCTTGCTAATGGGAATTTATTTGGAGATACAGTCTTGCTATGGATGGAATCAAGTGGAGATGAGGTCTGGATTATGTGGGCAGGTATTTTAATAAAAAGAGATAAATTTGGACATATACTATCTGTTTCATATAGTCATGTGAAAACAGACAGGTAGGAGTGATGCAGTCAGAAGCCCAGGAATGCCTGTGGCATCGGACACCAGGAGAGGCAAAGAAGAACCTTTCCATAGAGCCTCCGGAGACAGCGTGGCCCTGCCAACCTTGACTTTGGCCTCTGGCACTGTAAGATGGCACATTTTTGTTGTTATAAGCTACCTAGTTTATGTGCTGTGTTTTGCCAGCCCAGGAAATATCACATTTGCTCTGCCCTCAGGCTCCAGAGCTGGGCACATGTGGCCAGTCCTGCAGCGCATCCCTCAAATCCTGACACTTCTGGCTCAGGGAATGCCTAGATCATTCCCCATTCGAGCTGACAAGGGCTTTGAGGTGAGAGCCTGAGCACTGACCACTCGGCACACCACAGAAGCATGGATGGCTCAGCTGGGCAGGGCAGAGGGGGAAACTGAGGCCCATAGAGTTTCAGGGCCTGGCACAAGGTCATCTAGCTAGTGACCACTAAGCCAGGAGCAGAGCCAGGCTCAGTAGGGTTTGTCAACAACAGGAGTTTCCCAGAAGGCAGAACTTGTGGTGCTAAACCTGGGGCAGCCCCAGGCAAACCAGGATGAACTGGTTACCTGGATTTATGTCAATTCAGCAACCATTTGCTCGTGTCTTCTCTATGTCAGGTCTTGGAGACAGTGAGAGCACGTCACAAATATTCATTCCTGATACCAGTATGGTGGGAGACAACCTACACAATGAGGGATGTCTTTGCCATTCCTCAAGCCATGTTTAGACCCTTGCTGTCTCCACTTCCACCCTGGTCACTGGGGCGTCAGGGGTGGGCCTGAGCACTTCGTGTGCTAAACTGTGTACAGATGGGATCACATTTCATCCTCATCACTGTCCTGTGAAGGAGGGCTTTTATTACCCCAGCTCACAGATGAGGAAGCTGAGACTCAGGGTAAATAACTCATGGTGGTGGTTTAGTTGCTCAGCGTGTCTGACTCTTGTGACCCCATGGACTAGGCTGTAGCCTCCTAGGCTTCTCTGTCCATGGGATTCTCCAGGCAAGAATACTGGAGTGGGTAGCCAATCCCTTCTCCAGGGGATCTTCCTGACCCAGGAATTGAACCTGGGCCTCCTGCATTGCAGGCAGATTCTTTACTGGGGTACAGAAGCTCATAGGAGCTCATAGAGCAGTAAGCAGTAGACGCAGGACAGGACCAGCAGGCTCTGCTCCAGATCCCTGTCCTACCCTCTTCCTCAGTGGGCCCGGAGAGGGGTGGTCTCCATCAGTCTCCAGCCCCTCCCTGTGGTGCAGAGTGCCTAGTCCAGTTCCGGGGTGTGATGGCTAAATGGAGTTGGAATGGGGAGCCCCGCCGAGATGGATAGAGGGTGGGGATTAAGGGCAGTGGGGCTCTGGGGACAGAGGTGGCCCCTTGGGTGCCTGGTGCAGGCTTCGTGGAGGCAGGGCCGTTGGAGCAGTGCTCAGGCTGGCAGCATTTCCCACGCGGGAGAATTTTTCACCACTTCTGTGTGTCCTCACGACTGCAAACCTGTGCCCTTGTTTTCTGGACCTGAGCAATTCCATCAGAACCCAGTTCAACACAGAGGTCACCCAGAGAGACCTGTGTGGAGGGGCTTCATGACAGAGATGGGAGGGGGGCGGGAGGGGCAGAAGGAGCCAGCCACAGGCGGGAAGAAAGCAGAGTGAACTTCTGGCCTCAAGGTTCCGGCCTGGGGAACCGAGGGCTGCGGGGAATTTCCTCCCTTCCTCTCCGCCTGCATTTCCTCCCTCTTTCCTTCCTTCCAACCTCTGGCCTTCCATTCTTCCTTCCATCTCTCCTCCCTCCCCTCCTCGCACCCTTCCACCCATCTATTTATCCTTCTTCCATCTATTGTTCCATTGACCCATCCATCCATCTAGCTAGCAGCTGGAGCTGCTGGGGAGTGTGTTGATCTGTTTGGGGAAACGGTGAGTTCCCTCTACTGGAGGCATTCAGGCAAGGTGGCATGACTGTCTATTAGAGGGGTGATAGAAGGGCAGGGATTGGACCAAGTGGCCTTCCATCCCCACCTAGGATCTCTGACACAGCCCTCCTGCGCCCAGGGGGCCTGGAGCAGGCGCAGCTCGAGGGCGAGGCGAGCCTCCGGCCTACCTTCTCCTGGCTGCTGTGGGCAGTCAGGGAGCGGTGGGCTGCCCCTCTCAGGGCTGCTCTGTAGTTGCAGAAGTTGCCCGTTGGGTCCATCTGGTGCTGGAAGGAGACAGGGAGGCATCTGGGCAACTGTGTCCTGGGGATGCTGGCGGCACCCGGCAGTCGAGCAGCCTTGCTTACCTCGAGGATGAAAAACTTGGCCGTCTTCACTTTGGCCCAAGTCTTCTTCAGCCTGGAGACCGGGCTCATGTTCATGCCCGCTGGAAGAGGGATGGCTGAGCTGGGGCAGGGCCGGGCTGGCAGGGCTCTTCTGGGCTGCATAGTTTTATTGCTACACAGCTCCTCTGGGAAGCCCCCAGCTGGCTGATCCCCTAATCCTCTCAGGCTGTACCCTGACCAGGGCTGACATTTAGGGGAGCCTCAGCCTGCCAGATGGGGGGTGGGTGGGCGCTAATGGACTGTGTCCAGGTCGGCCTGGCTTCTGTATGTGCAAGCCCCTGTCCCCGTGCCCACAGTACAGGCCTTATACTGCGATCAGGAGCCTGCTCTGGGTCCCCACTCACCCTGAATCTGGGTATACACCGCCAAGCTCTCACCAAGCACATTGAAAGGGCTGGGCTCGCCTCTAAAGGGGCACCTCCCCAGGACCTGTGGGGTGGGGTGGGGGAATGGGGGCCCAGCCTGCACCCGCCTCCAGCTCAGAGGCACATCCTGGCTTGCGCCCCACTGCCTGGCTGCGCCCGCTCTGCCCTCTCTGGGAGCACCTGTCCTGGGGGCCCCAGGCCTGGCCGGCCCACTCACAGATGATGGCCATCAGGGAGTTGAAGTTGCCGATGTTGAAGCATTCCCGGGCCACATCGATGAAGAACTCGATCACCTGGGCCCGCTGCTTCTTCTTGGCTGGCTGGGGACAGGGCACCGGAGCCTCAGTCACGAGGGGTCCCCACCCCACGCTGACCTGCTTACGCATCTTGCCCCTCATTAACCTTTCCAGCTGAGACGCTTGGGACCAGGGTGATCTGCAGCCGGAGGACTCAGGGTCTCACCACGCCCCAGGGGGAGGCAGCACAGAGTCCATTGCACAGAGGGTCAAGTGGGGGGTGGTGGGGCTCCTGTGGGGACACACGAGCCGCCTGCAACATGGGCAATGGACTGTGTGACTTCACCCCCAATTCCAGTTGAGTGGGTGAGACTCTGGCCTCTGACTGCTCGGAAGCAGACCCGTGTTCTTCTCCGGGCCGAGTGCTGCCGGCTCTGGTGATTCAGTCCAGGTTTTGCTCAGGTAAAGCCCCATCTCTCTTCGCTCCCAGGCCAGTGATGCGACCTCAGAAGAGGCAGGGCTCACGAACCCCACACTCTCCTCTCCAAGGAGATCGCCTGCCTCCCAGACGTGCGGCCGTGGTGTTTACTCCCGCTGAGACGTGCGTTGTGTTACTGGTGGAGCTGGGACACCTGACCCTTCAGAGAGCTGCCCGCCTGAGGTCCTGCTGTGCTTTGGAGGGCAGCCCCCACAGCGATGGCGATGATGACCAAGCAAGGTGGACCAGCAGGCTCAACCACTGGGGTGGGGGGCTGTGGGCGTCGTGACGGGAGCCGCTGGAGCCTCTCCCACTTTCTTGATTGCCTGCGTTGGCCTCATAAACAAACCCCTTACCCCAAGCTCTGTCTGCTTCCAGAGAGCGCACCCCAGCACATATGCTACCTCCAAACTATCCCTGAGACAGGGGCCCTGGGCTTCGCATCACAGTGAAGGGATGGATTCGGGAGATGGTCCCGCCGCCGTAAGGAGGGGGAGGCTATGCAGCGTCTGGCCCTGCGGGGCTGAGATCCGGGGGCGAGCACGTCTGGCTCAGTGCTGCTGAGTCTCCCTGCTTTCTGGGAGATGCCAGGGTCCTGGACTTCAAAGAGATCGCTCCCACTTCTTAAAGCTGGAATATTTCTACCTCTAAGTCCCGAGTGAGCCAAACAGAATTCAGCTGCAGGCCAGGCCACCCCAGGCACAGATGGGAGAAGCGGATAGCCTACTCCCCTCTCCCTCAGCAAGAATCTCTCTGACTCCCTCTGTGACTGGCAGGTGGCTTCATGTCAGGCTCTACCCAGGGGGAAAATGTCTCTACAGGCAAGCCAGGTAACACCTGGTGTCCCAGAGGGTGCCCAGCCTGGCTCTGGGCTGGGAGACAGATGGGCTCATCATGGTCTTCTGGTCCCCCCTCCCCCCCGCCCCGTGGGCTCCTCTCAAGCCCCGGCCAGCTCTGGCCATGTCAGCTCAGGGGCTGGCTTCCTACGCACCATGCAGATCTCAGTAGCCACGAGGTAGCACAGTCTGTTGAACCATTTCACGTAAGCTTCCAGGTTGTTAGTCTTGTCACTGAAACGAGGCTAGGAAAGACACAAGAACCATGCTCAGATTTTTTGTCAATAACTTTTTGAACATGAATAACTTTTAAAAAGTCAGCCATCATCATTATAGATGATCTCAGAAATGTTGAAACCTCAAAACCATCCACAAATATCAATGATTTGACATATCCTTCTAGTTATATTTTCTATACACCTAAAGATGTAACTTAATGTATGTATATATCATATACCCCTACACACAATTAACGCTCATTATGCATACATTTCGTGTTTGCTTCCTAAACTTTCACTTCGTTTGTAACCTCCAAATTCATCCTCACGTCACTTCTTGGTCCCTCGTGGACATGCGCGGAGCGGAAGGCCTCTGTCACCCAGTGCACCTGAGTGCTCCCGGCTGAGGCTGGGCTGATGCCCTGACTTCTGGTTTCAGCTTCTGTACTGTAAACAAGTGTCCTTTTTCTAATCTATTTAGTGTCAGTTTTTGCATTTTTGTGATATTTGTTGGTGATTTCACTGGTCAAAGCGGCCCCAAGCACAGAGATGGAACCCTCAGCAGAGTGCTGCCGTGCAATCTCGGTCTTGTGTTCCTGAGCACACGAAGGCTGACATGTGCGCTGAGGAAAAAAATGTGTCTGAGGAGCTTCATTCAGACGTGCGTTGTAGTACTGTTGGCTATGAATTCAGTGTTACTGAATCAACAATATAACGTCTCAGTAAGCAGACACAAATCAAGGTTATGTATTGACTGGTTGATGAAAAAGCTGTGATGAGAGGCTCGCAAGGAAACTAATCTTATATTTTCCTTAGGAGTAAGGACTCAGTATTTGCCACTTCAGTGTTCATGATGACTATAGGATATAAGGATGGCAAATAATGAGGATTAATCTTATGTATGTATGTTTCTATCTATGAGTATATATATTTCCATGTTTTCCCACATGAACCTTCTCATGTGCTATCAAATAGCTTTTAGAAACATATTTAAAAAATGGAAGCATAATTTTATAAATCCACTGTATAAGTGTATCACAATTTCAGAGAATCCAAAAGAAGCAAAGAAAGAAAAAACAATAGGTAAAGAAGGCAAGGCACAACAGAAGACAGTAAAAACAAGTCCATACACATCAGAAATTACTCTATATGGATTTGTTTAGTCACTAATTAAAAAAAATCCAACCACCTGCTATTTTCAAGAGCTACATCCCAAACACAGGGATATAAATAGAAATAGAAAAATATGCATGATAAATATCACATATCTATCCTAATATTAGACAAAATAGACTTTAAGGCAAAAAAAGACTCTAAGGCAAGAAGCATTAAAAGAGTTTCAAGGGTAACTACATAAAGATAAAATTTTTGACTTATTGAGAATATAGCATGAGTTTAAATTTATCTGCACCTAAGTAAAGTAATGCTCAAAATTCTCCAAGCCAGGCTTCAGCAATACATGAACCATGAAATTTGAGATGTTCAAACTGGTTTTAGAAAAGGCAGAGGAACCAGAGATCAAATTGCCAACATCCACTGGATCATCGAAAAAGCAAGAGAGTTCCAGAAAAACATCTATTTCTGCTTTATTGACTATGCCAAAGCCTTTGACTNGAAGAATTGATGCTTTTGAACTGTGGTGTTGGAGAAGACTCTTGAGAGTCCCTTGGACTGCAAGGAGATCCAACCAGTCCATCCTGAAGGAGATCAGTCCTGGGTGTTCATTGGAAGGACTGATGCTGAAGCTGAAACTCCAACACTTTGGCCACCTCATGTGAAGAGCTGACTGATTGGAAAAGACCCTGATGCTGGGAGGGATTGGGGGCAGGAGGAGAAGGGGACAACAGAGGATGAGATGGCTGGATGGCATCACTGACCCAATGGCATGACTCTGAGTAAACTCCGGGAGTTTGTGTTGGACAGGGAGGCCTGGCGTGCTGCGATTCATGGGGCCGCAAAGAGTCAGACACGACTGAGCGACTGAACTGAACTTAACTGAATAGCATAGCTTCAAAATATGAAGGCAGAAATAATCCAAAAATGTAAATTCCTTATAAGGAGGGAATTAAGAACACCTATTCATTAAAAGACACAATAATGAGAATGAAAGGCAGAGCAATCAACCAGGGGAAGAAAATTTGCAGTACATCCAACTGACAAGGGATAATTAACTAGTACATATTTTAAATACTCACACAAAACTCTTAAAAATCCTTAAGAAAAAAAGACAAATCAGTAATAGAAAACTGAAGAAAAACTAGGGCATTTCATAGAAGAGAAAACAAGAAGGTCCAAACCGCATGAAAAGATGCTCCATTTAACAGTTTGACAAAAATTAAAGTTTGAAGACTTGAAGTGTCAATGAGGCTGTGAAGCAAGAATAACTCCCTGGTGGCAGTGTAAATGGAAACAGCCTCACTTGGCATCACCTGGTAAGGCTGACCATCTGTTTACCCTGTGACTGACACAGGGTAGGCAGTGATTCCTTTCATAGTGATTCCTTTCACAGGTATATCCTAGAGCAACACCCCAAAGTGTTGTCCCTGGACTCCTGGGGGTCTCCAGGACCCTTTCAGGAGGTCCACAAGGGCAAACCTATCTTCATATTCATAAATATTACTGCCTTTTCACTGTCATAACATTTGCACTGATACATAATAGAATGATGGGTAAAGTTACTGCTTCCTTAGCCTGCACTGAATCAGAATCCCCAAATGATACCATCGTGTTCTTCACTAGTACTCACTTAAAAGAAAAAGTGAGTGTGACTTAAGAATGTTCTTGGGGACATAAACTTCAGTTTATGCTTTATTAAATCTCAACCCTTGAGTGCATGTCTTTTTCATATTCTGTGTGACAGGACGGGAGTGCCGTCATCTGTGGGTATCCTCAGGTGAATGGTTCCACCACCACTCTTGGACACCAAAATCTGAGGATGTTCAAGATCCTTATGTAAAGTGGCATAGTATTTGCATAAACTCATGCACAGTCTCCTGTATACTTTAAATCACCTCTAGTTTACTTATAATACCCAATACAATGTAAAAACTGTGTAAATAGTGGCCTGGTACACAGCAAATTTAAGTTTTGCTTTTTTAGAACGTGCTTGAACCTTAATTTTTTCCAATATTTTTAATCTGAGAGGTGGAAGCTGTGTTTGCAGAAGCCGCAGGTATGCAGTGAGGACGGTACACACATGTCTCATGGTACTCTTACGGAAGCGCGCTGGTGCACCCGGCGCGAGCTGACCTTTACCCACGGGGCACCATTCTTACCTGAAAAAAGACCGACCCACTATGGTTATTCGCATTTCAGTATTTGGCTGATACTGCCTTTAAAATCAGTTAAAATCATCCTGTAACTTCAAGGAAAACAATTGATAGTATTTGTTACCAAGGATAAAATTCAAGTTTTCAAGAGAAAATTGAGGACCTAAAAAACACGCATCTGCCTCTAGAGCTTGACAGCTTCCCAATACTTCAGAACTTATTTGGATGATATTAGTAGTGAATATATACATGAATATTATTTTAAAATATCATCTAATGAAATATGTCACATTCAGAAGAAGGTCTGCTTGATTAGCTGAACCCATATTTTCCAAAATGCATGTCAAAATCATGCATGGGCAAAAAGATCCGTTCATGATGTGTGGTTTACTGCTCAGTCGTGTCCAACTCTTTGTGACCCCATGGACAGCAGCCTGCCAAGCTCCTCTGTCCATGGGATTTTCCAGGCAAGAATACTGAAGTGAGTTGTCATTTCAAGATGGACCAATGACTTTAATGTGATAAGTTCAGATTCCAAACTACAATTAATTGTAAAAAATTATCCCTTGTTGAGTTTTAGTGTAGTATCAAAGAAGAATATTCACAATTACTTGAAAAGGCCATAATATACTCCTTCCTTTTCCAACAACATATTTGTCTGAGGAAGTTGTATTTTCAATCAGTATAATGTTAGGTCAAGAAATTGAATGAAAATTGAGAGAATTCAGCAGTCTTCTATTGTCAGTCATTAGAGAGATTTTTTTTTCAAATAGCTATGAAAGAAGAGAAGCGAAAGGCAAAGCAGATAAGGAAAGATGCACCCATTTGAATGCAGAGTTCCAAAGAATAGCAAGGAGAGATAAGAAAGCCTTCCTCAGTGATCAATGCAAAGAAATAGAAGAAAACAATAGAATGGGAAAGACTAGAGATCTAGTTCAAGAAAATCAGAGATACCAAGGGAACATTTCATGTAAAAATGGGCACAATAAAGGACAGAAATGGTATGGACCTAACAGAAGTAGAAGATATTAAGAAGAAGTGGCAAGAATACACAGAAGAACTATACAGAAAAGATCTTCATGACACAGATAATCATGATGGCATGATCACTCACCTAGAGCCAGCCATCCTGGAATGCGAAGTCAAGCGGGGCTTAGGAGGCACCACTACGAGCAAAGTTAATGCAGGTGATGGAATTCCAGTTGAGCTATTTCAAAACGTAAAAGATGATGCTGTGAAAGTGCTGCACTCCATATACAAGCAAATTTGGAAAACTCAGCAGTGGCCACAGGACTGGAAAAGATCAGTTTTTATTCCAATCCCAAAGAAAGGCAATGCCAAAGAATGCT